ATTTTTGGGTCTTCGTTTCACCTGTGAAAAATTTTTAAGGAGAATGGAAAGGACGTGTGCTATGGTATTAGGAGAACCTTGCAACCCCGTGGGAATGGCCTGACATCCTATTAAGCCCACAGCATGGCTGGTAAATTGTTATCCCTTGGCCATTCTGTTCAGTTAGAGTGGCAGCCTGTATCATTCTGTGAACTGGGCTCAGACCCTGCCTAGGCTCAGGGAGTAATATTGACGACAAGACAACTTTCTGTGTTTTCTGTGGGCATCAGAGTTGAGAGAAGCAGCATGTATTGACCATCCCTCAGATGGGATATGGGCATGATTTCTAAAGCCCTGGTATGGTTTGAGGGGGCGGATGGAAATCAACTTTCTGTTTCTAGCTTGATAATTCCATCAGTGTTAAAGCTCCTTAATTTCTTTGATTATCCTCTTAAAAGACCATCATTTAGTACCAGGAGGGATTTAAAGCCCAAATAAAATAAAAATTTTTTATATAATCCCAGGGTGATTCAATGAGTTTATTTTCATCTAGAAAATTCTCCTGTCTGTTCTTCCCCCACAGTGTCCAGAAAAACTGATTTTCCCCTCCAATTGTACTGTGACTAAGACAGTGACTTCTTCTGGCAGAACTATTTCCCCTTGCACAATAAATGGTTATCTTTAGGGACTTCCCTTTATAATTAGAACTGAGGATGGTAGACCTCAGTCTTTTCATTAGACTCCATTAAAGAGAACTACCTTTAAGAGTTTATCACCAATTATTTTCAATGTTTAATTCTTTCAGTACTTTGTAGAGCTGTAGTAAATTGCTATATGTGCTTAAGCTCCATCAATTACTTAAAGACTTGAAAGTTGAACTGGTCAGTGTGCCTGAGGAGTCCTATACTGGATAGAACATTTTGACCCAGGTGGTTTGCTCAGGGTGGCTGAAAAGAGGTTGAACTCTATGTTTGGATCTTATTGCCCACCTGTCAGGTGTTGGTTATCTGGCCCACCCAACTGGATTAAGCCCTAGAGAGGAGAAAAAGTAGGAATGAGTGGTGGTGGTGATGCTTCGAGAGCAAGAAAATAGAATTCAAGTGTAGTAGATGGTTTGCAGATTTCCTGTGGCCTATTAGAAATTTATAACCTCAGCCTTTGACTTTACTTCATGAGCATATTTTTTTTTGCAGACCATATTTTCACAAATTTCAGGTTTAATTAGAAAGGTATTTTATTTTCCTATGAATTGAAAAAAGCATTATTTATTTATTGAAATGATACTGAGAACTCTGTGTGTGGTGTTTATATAAATGTTTTTCTCATCAGCTATTTTTTATAATCCTGTTGTATTTTCCCATTGCATCTTTTTTTAAAAAAAATTCTTTATTGTTTAAAGTATTACATAAGTCTTCTTTTTCCCCCCATTGACCTCTCCCCGGACACCCCCACCCCTCAGTACATGCACTCACCCCCCTACTGTCTGTGTCCATTGGTTATGCTCATATGCATGCATACAAGTCCTTTGGTTGATCTCTTACCCTCTCATCCCCCGCCTTCCCTCATAGATTGTATGGTCTGTTCAATGCTTCTATGACTCTGATTCTATTTTTGTTCATCAGTTTATGTTGTTCATTATATTCCACAAATGAGTGAGATCATGTGATATTTTCTCTTTCTCTGACTGGCTTATTTCGCTTAGCCATAATGCTCTCCACTTCCATCCATGCTGTTGCAAATGGAACAAATTCCTTCTTTTTTACAGCATCGTAGTATTCCACTGTGTAGATGTACCAGTTTTCTAATCCACTCATCTGCTGATGGGCACTTAGGCTGTTTCCAAATCTCAGCTACTGTAAAGTGTGCTTCTATGAACATAGGGGTGCATATGTCCCATTGCCTCTTCATGTATGTTTTTATGATTCTATTTCCATGGCAGGGTATGGCCACACAAGCACATGGCACATAATTGTGTAGTAGAGAATAAGATTTGTGTGCACATGTATGTGTATCATAGAATAATTAAAGAACCTGTCCATTTATTCTCATTCATCTTTACTAAGAGCATAAGCTACCCAACTGTCAAACTCATTGTTACTTGTTTATTGTAATGGGCATCTGTACATTAACTCTGTTTAGTCTCTGCTTTGTACCAGGCTTTTGGGGAAATAACCTTGGAGCACATAATGAGCATGATAGTCACAATTTCTATCCTACTGATGACTGTCTTTCACATAGTTATTAATATTCATGCTATTTGAATAAAACAAACTGATAAATTCTTGATAATTGGAAATACCTTGTCAGTATTGCCATTGTATGTTTCCAGAGCAAGATCATAGCATTTTTATTATGGAATTTTCATCTAATCGTTTTTTTTTAAGTAAAAATATACAAATAACAAAACACAATTAACAATATGGTTTTAGGAAGTTATGAGCAAATGGTAGTGTGGCTTATCTCATACTATAATATTTTTATCTGAAAAATAGAAGAGTAAAACTTAGCTATCATGATCATAAGTCATTACTGTATTTCGAAAGAAACTAATATTGCTCATTGTGACATTTGAATTGAAGTACTTATTAAACACATTAGATTTCTCCTCCAACCCTTGGTCTCATGTATAGGTGAGAGATAGTGCTTAATGCCAGATGGCTGGAGCATTTCATCCACTAAGTAAACATTGGTGGCAAGATACTTGCCTCTAAACAATAATGCATGACAGAACATAGAGTGTCTAAAAAACAGAGGGATTCACCCCTAATTCTTAGCTATTTGTCAGTTTTGTAGTCTTTTAAAAACCTGCAGTGGCTGACCATGCCATGCATTTTGGTCTGGTATAGGAGTACATATATAAGAGTTTTGTAAAGAAAGCAAGAGCAGTTGGTTTTTAGGGACCTTCATTTCAACACTATCCTCTTCTCTGACATCTATTACTTCAGAGTAAAAAAAAAAATCTTGTTTAACCCCTGAATGATCTGAGGTGGTGGTGTGCTTTTCAAGGCAGCCCACACAATGTAAAGCTTCCACCAAATGGTGTTTGTGTGATTTTAGCACTCCTGTTATTTACTACTCAATTCTCAAAAACTCCAGAAATAGAAATATGAAGGGCCAAGTCTGCTGGCAAATGTGTTATTTCCATCTTGGAGCATATTTGAGAAAATGTTTGGAAGTAAGAGGTCCCTGACCATTGAGAACTTCCAGACGGGGGCCACCGTTGCCCAGGAGTGATGGGAAGGGGCTTCCTCCCAGGGGAGTGACTTCTGAGCATAAGCCAAGGAAGGTGGCAGCCAGGCTTGGGAACTCCAGACTAGAAGGAAATTGCAAGTATGGAAAAGAAATAGAGAGAGGGTGAATGAGCATCGACCTGTGGGACAAAATTACAGACTGTAAGAAAGGTGGGCCATTGTCACTAGATAAAAGGAAAATGTGGGACTTAGGATAACATAAAGACAGTTGTGTATTTCAAAAGTAACAATATAAATAAGTCAAGCTATTAATTCATAATTTCTTTCCTAGTATGAGAGGGTGAAATACAAGTTGGTCAAGGTTCCTTACTTTATTTAGTGGTAGCTAGAGCTGACTTCGATGGTTCCATGAAATTGGCTTAAAGCAAGACTAAAATCAGCACCTGCCAGCTTTTCTGTTCTTCGAACGATTCGTCTTTCTTCTCTGACCCTTTAAAGTTGTAGCTACACTAAAGATGTAATGTACTTACGCTCAGAATGTTTGCACATTTTAACTCATAATATTCTGAGTGCTGTTCTTACTGGTTGTTTATTTGTTGTTGTTTTTTTAAGATTTTGCAAAGCAATAGACTCACCTTCACAAGCTGAAATGTATCTCCTGCCTCTTTAGTATGTGGTACGATATAAACTGTCCAATCCGAATATCAGAGTGTGTCACAGGGTCTGATATTATCTTTCTTACAGCTTCAACTAGGGGTGGTTCAAATCATTACACTGTCATTGAATTACAAGTAAGCCCATGAGAGAATTTTCCCATGAGCTCCCCCCCCCACCCTTCTAGTTTACTTCTGTACAGCCTTTTTGAAGGGGCAAGGAAAGGAAAGTCTACCTCACAATTCAAGCTTCTGTACACCTGTCATTATCGTAGTGACAGCTCTTGGTGCAGAAGAGAGGACATTTGTATTTTGGTCCTGTTTTTGCTTACAGATTCAACTCTTATGTGAACATGAAAATGACCCTTGTTTTAAAACCAACCTTTGTTTTTAAGATCACCCTGCTTTCTTTATTTCATGTAGAATATAAACGTTATCTTTAAATCCACTTAGATTATAGAGGGGTTCTTGGCTTAATGAAGGAACAGAGAAAGAAGGCTGCCTCCAGGTAAAGGGGCAGGAACAACAGTGCAAGGGATAGAGTGCTGGGTCTTAGCACCGCTGTTCCTGGCCCTGTGAATGCAGTGAAAAATATGCTGCACCGGTCAATCCCGTGTGTGACCACTGGCAGATGTATCACCATTGTGAATCTCTGCTGCATTGTCTAGGAAATAGAGATAATATCCCTTTATCTATGAAGTGGGAATAAAGTATACCTCACCCATTTCTCAGGGGTGTTAAGGCAGTTAAATAAACATATATATGAGACAGCGCAGTGCAAATTGTAAAGTGCTGTCCGAATGTTAAGGTAGCATGGTGGAAATGTTTACTAAGCAGAAAGATGAAGCAGTAGACTTTGTGCAAAGAGTCTCTATGTGAATGTTGTTTCCTTCTTTGGAGATCTCTCCCATCTGACTTCGTTTACGTTTATATTCTTGGGAGCTCTTTGATTTAGAGCTGGCACCACTTTACTGTAAATATACAGCACTATGCGCACATCAGCCCGAGGCCGGTGTCAGGCTCGCTGCACAGAGACCTTTAGTTCAGGTCAAGAGGGACTACAGGAAGTGTTAGCGACTGCTTACACTGTAGTGACAAGACCATTATTAAAATATGTCGCGAAATCTGTTCAGTCAAAATTAACATTATCTCTTTTGTTTTACCTTTTCCTTTAAAGCAGCTTATGACGTTTTCTCAAGCCCTACAACGTCAGATGAGCCTGAAATATCAGAGCCCCACACAGGTATTCCCAACCTCTCAATTCTTTCCTCTGATTCCATGTGTTCTGACAATACTGCACCTAGTTCTCTCTTTAATTTTTGCTGAATGAAATAGTACACTCTCCAGAGCTCTGCAGCAAAAGAAATGGCAATCCGTGTCAGGGAGACGGTGCTACCCTCTCCCACTGGGTGATTAGTTGTTTACATCCATGAGTAAACAGGCTCCCACAAGTCGGAGATGCAGATAGGTTTGCTTGCTACTGAGGCAAAGTAAGGTAATGGTCTATTGCTCTGTTGTTCAGCATCATTCTAAAAAGGTTTTAGAATCCTAGAAAGTTTTCTCTGGAGCAGTGGTTCTCCAGTGGGGGTGATTTTGCTCTCCTCTATTCCCAGGGGATTTGGAAATGTCTAGAGACATTTTTGTTTGTCACAGCTGGAGGAGGTGCTACTGACACATCCAGTGAGTAGGGGTCAGAGATGCTGCTATACCCCTACAATGCAAAGAACAAGCCCCTACAACAAAGAATCACCCAGCCCTAAATATCAATATTGCTGAGGTGAGAAATCGTGCTATGGAGCACTATCATGCTATTCATTTATCTACTAGAGGCCTGGTGTACAAATTAGTGCATGGGTGGGGTCCGCTGGCCTGCCTATGGGATGGGGCCAGCTGGGGGGAGTGGCCACTGGTGGTTGGCTGCTGGCCCAGCCCCTGGTCGAACTCCTAGTTGAACTCCCAGTCAAGGGAACAATTTGCATATTAGCCTTTTATTATATAAGATAGAAGTTCAGGTGGGTCTAATTTTTGGCATTCACTTACTGATGCAGCTACAGTGAATTTAACTCAGTCCAGTAGTTCCTCTTGGCAAGTGTTTACTAAGCACCTACTAAGCTTGGTCCTGCAGAACATTTAAAGTGAATAAGACTGGTCTCTGCCAGGCATGCATATATGTCTGAGACTTTCTCTTTGTGTAGCTTTATCTCAGCATTATTTGTGTCATAAGTAAAAGTGAGTAATTTTAAACAGCAGAAAATTTTAAAAAATGAAATAGAATGCTAAAGGTGGGTTCAATTAGTAGTTAAGGAACAGAGAGAAGAAGCCAGCGAAATCTGTTGAAAATAAGTTGAGTATATGAGACACTGTTTTATCATGATTTCTGATGTTTAAAATATATATGTTCTTTAAAGTGAGCTCATATTTAAATTCTAATGAACCACTCATTTAAAAATGTTGGTCAGAAATCTCTCAAGTGTTCTTTTTTAAAATTTCTTTATTGATTAAGTTATTACATATGTGTCCTTATCCCCACATTACCCACCATCCCTCCCACTCATGCCCTCACCACACCCCCCGCCCCCATTGT